CAGTCTGTCACTGAAGGAGCTCTGCAGTTCAGCAACATCTACATGCATGGGGTGGGAGACTCTGTCCATCAGAGATGTTATTTTGGCCAGAGTCCTTCTGTCTCCCTGCACCTGCACTGGGTCCAGGGTGCATCCCAGAACAGAGCTGGCCTTCCTGATGAGTTTATTAAAGAACCTAAAGTTCTTCAAATGTGTAGCTGTAAATATAATCTCTATATTTTTATACTTTTAATCTTGATTGATCTGAACTTCTAAGACCTGACAGATTTTTGTTGGCTTAATTTAATGGAGTTATGCAATTCCTGACAATATATTAAATATAACTAACTAACTAGATAGATATATAAATAACCTAATTTTAAAAAAACAAACATGTGTTGCTAGATCTACTTTAAATAATTGCAATGATTTTGAGCAGGTGTTGTCCATACTTGCACTACAGACCCTTCAGATTCATGAAAACTGCCAAATCATCGCTGACATCGTTTTCCTGGTCTGCCCGTGTTACTTTTACAGACATTTCCTGCAAACCCTAAGGGTTAGCACTTGCATAAGTAACTAGATGGAACTCTGCATTATCAAAACATGTCATCATCTAATCTGCAACAGTAAATACACACAGAGTCCTCGAGTCATCTTCATTTCATTCATTCATTCAGTTTTACCCCCTGTTATTTAATAAGCCCTCATGACTCCTGATGACGCATTGTAAAAGTAAACTGCATGGTAGACAGTTTTTCCTCTAAATTCAAGAGTACACAATGTAACCTATAAAAGATCACAGGTTAATTAGTATCAGATTAAGAAAGAAAAAAGGACAACGATGGGTGTGATTAGCATTTTTGAAATCAAAAATATCTCTGCATACGATTTTATATGATATATAGTCACATTTAAAGCTCAGCTATTCAGAGAGAACATGTACTTTAAATTAATAATAATAATGGATTGGTTTTATATAGCGCTTTTCAAGGCACCCAAAGGGCTTTACAATGCCACTATTCATTCACTTTCGCATTCACACACTGGTGGAGGCAGCTACAGTTGTAGCCACAGCTGCAGACTGCCATATCGCGCCATTGGCCCCTCTGGCCAACACCAGTAGGCGGCAGGTGAAGTGTCTTGCCCAAGGACACAACGACCAGGACAGAGAGCCCGAGGATCGAACCGGCAACCTTCCGGTTACAGATGCGCTTCCCAACCCCCTGAGCCACGGTCGCCAAATTGTACGTACTTGGGGCAGAATCACCCCATTGCAAGAAGGTTGTGGGTTTGAATTCACCTGCCTGCTGGAGTGGGGGGTTTGCATATGCTTCCTGTGTCTGCATGCGTTCCCTTTTGGTATTTTGGCTTCCCACAGTTCAAATTCCATGTTCCAGTTTCCATTATGTTACATAAGCACATTGTAAATGTTAAATTTAATTAAATCTGGTCAAATGAAATTTACTGCGATGGGATACATTTAGATCATATCAAGCACATTTTACATAACGATTAATTATTTGAATAAATAAACCTTTGATTTACATATTTCACTTTTGTATTAAAAACGCTCATTTGCTGTGCAAATCATCCCTAAATTGTTTAAAACCAGATTTTTCTTTTCTTTTTTATTCATTTTTTTCTAGTCTTGTCTACTTGAGCCCTCTTTGAGATTTTCCGCTCCACAATTTTTGCATCAACCCTTCAGAAATTGACTTTGTTTACTCTAGTTGTGTGTTGGCAGACTGTAAGTGACTTGAAAGCAAAAAAGTTATAACCACTATGCCACCAAGCTGTCCCTACTACCATTCCTTTCCTTTTTTCTACTTTTATTCTGTACTGCTCTTCTATCTAATCACATTTTTCTGTTAGGTTTCCAAGATGTCCATGTGATGATATTTGTTGGATTTGGTTTCCTCATGACGTTTCTTAAGCGATACAGCTTCGGAGGAGTAGGTTTCAACTTCCTCATCGCTGCCTTTGGTCTTCAGTGGGCACTGCTGATGCAGGGCTGGTTCCACTGGCTGGGCCCTGATGGGAAGATCAGAATTGGAGTTGAAAAGTAATAGTTCAGTTTTATTGCTCATGATTTAAAGGAATCACTTTACACACAAAAAATCTGAAATGTATGACTTACAGATATTATATAACAAGTCATGTTATGAAATAATGTGATTCATGTTATGAGTTCTTGTCTTTTGATTCAAATACCGAGAAATACGGTCTCTCCTATGGGAATATGTTTCCACCTGTATCCAGAAGAAAAGAGTTTGTGTTTGTGGTTGGAAGTTAGACTGAAATTGGGGGTAATGGGAAATTATGCTACTTCTGAAGTGCTGCCAAAGATATGATAGCTGTGTTTGTGTGTAAAATAGAGATAGAGAAAGTGATCCACATGGGGGTAATTCAAAACCGTGACCCTGTCCTGGCAGCATAGTTTCTCCTGAAACACATTAAGTTGTGTTTTCTTTTCATTTGCCACCCATGTGAATCTATGTTAAGTGTACAAAATGCAGCATTGTTAGTTCATTCATTTCGGAATAAGTGCACTCTTAGCCAAATAAATCTGATGATCAAGGCCAGTGCAGAGAAGTAATGCTCTTTTATTTCCTTGCTTGTCCTTTACATTTTGGCTGTTTTGCCTTCTTCAGCCTGATCAATGCTGATTTCTGCGTGGCCGGCTGCTTAATTGCCTACGGAGCACTGTTGGGAAAAGTCAGTCCAGTCCAGCTAATGGTTCTGACTTTGTTTGGGATTACACTGTTTGCTGTGGAGGAATTTATCATCCTAAGTGTTATACATGTAAGTTTTAACAATCAGATTATACTGATTATACAAATATATAATAAAAATGCTATCTAATCAGACAATACATATAATTTCCAGTTGTAAAAACAGGAGCTCATTTAGTTCATGTCTGTGAACGATCCAGACCCCGACATGATGTTTAGGTGACTTTTTCACTGTCATTTTATTGAAATAAAACACACACACACACACACGTGCATCTCAAGTCCACGACCACAGCTGCTCAGAATCTGCTTCTCATAGCAGACTGCAGAGTAGGAAATATAGTTTTGGCCTAATGCTATTCTTTTATTCCTGAAGGCCAGAGATGCTGGAGGCTCCATGGTAATTCACACATTTGGAGGCTATTATGGTCTTTCCATATCATGGATGCTCTATCGTCCTAACTTGCACCAGAGCAGTCGTCTGCAGGGCTCTGTCTACCACTCAGATGTCTTTGCAATGATTGGTAAGCTTTGTTTACTACCCACAACTGCAAATTGTCATGTTTAGTATTGCTTTTGATTCATAAGAGGTTTTTTTTTTATCTGTTTAATCTCACAAAACTCCCTGTTACTTGTGACTTATATCACTATGGCACAGGCACCCTGTTCCTGTGGATGTTCTGGCCCAGCTTCAACTCAGCTATCTGTGATCACGGGGATGGGCAGCACAGAGCCGCCATCAACACTTACCTTTGTTTGGCCTCAACTGTCCTCACCACTGTGGCCATCTCGAGCCTCTTCCAGAAGCATGGGAAACTAGACATGGTAACAAGTTACAAACACTTATTAGATATAACCTATTATGCATATGGACATGATTGTGACAATAGGAGATGAATACAAACCAAAACAAGAAATCTATAAAGAGTTTAACAATCCTGCGAACACATTTTTTCAATAAGTGCACCCTTCAGATGATTATTTACCCAGGATACACATTTTTCTGCACTTGTTTCTCAGGTTCACATCCAGAACTCCACACTTGCTGGAGGCGTTGCAGCTGGAACAGCAGCTGAGTTCATGCTGATGCCCTATGGCTGTCTTATTGTGGGTTTCTGCTGTGGCATCATTTCCACACTTGGATATATCTTTCTCACGGTATGATATTTCTTTTCTTTTAATGCTCTCTGAAGATGACCACACACGTGCAGACATTCACACACACACACACAAGTGCATTTATTTCTACTATAACAAAGCATTTTATTCTATTTTGTATAGTATGTTATTCTGTTTTACCTTATCCTATTATATTTTGTTTTTCTTAAGTTTTGCTCTTAACTTTCCCATGTGTGCGACAAATAAGGAGGGTAGACTGGGGTTGTATTTCACACTTTTGACCCTTGCATGAATTTCTGATCATTATAATGTTGTTCAACAACCCTTTCATCACTAAAGCAAAGCCTAGGATGCTGGCTCAAAATAGTTGTTTGCAATTAATTATAACAAAAATTAATTAATTATCAACGATCTGACACTTTGTGACCCCAGATGTACCCCAATGTACAGAGACATCAGTATTTCTATAAATAAACAGCACCCAATGCCCCTTGTATTTAAAGCATGGATTTGAGGAAGTGATACGTTTTGCAAATTATCCTACATCCTATCCTACATATGAGCTTTATTGCTCATATGTAGGATATCACTAAGGAAGTTGTGGTGCTTTAGTAATGTAGCTTTTGCTAAATGCACAAAAATAACAGAAAACAGATTCCACATTCCATTACTGTATTTTGAACTGTAATTTTAAAAAGAACTTCTGAACTTTTAAAATTACTGATATGATTTTAAAAGTTCAAAAGTTCTTTTTATCTTTTTACAGACAAATAGTCATTTTATGTGAGATTTTTCGACAGGTAACCTGAACAATAGTGAGCAAGTCAGTGTAGAT